CTGGCGGTACGTATGCTGGACGTCTCAGTGGTTTCTAAGGTACCTCTCCGTCATCGCACCCTTATGTTGGCAAAACATGCTCCACCCCAGCAAGCCACTAGAATTACTGAATTATGAGGGCAAGGATTCGCTATGGTTACTTGAATGGTACCTGAAGCCACACTGCCTGGAATTTAATCCAGTCGTCACCATTTGTTTTGATGTCCTCGCGGTTCAAACCAACCAGCCACTCTTCGGAAGGAAGGTTGGGTAATCTACTTCTGCAGGGATACCGCCTTGGAAACCCAGGGAAGGGTCGCTATGAGTGGGGTCCTACTTGACAGCACATAACAACAACTACACCTCAGTGCTCTCCATTGTAAAATATAGAAAATTTCACAGTAATTCTTATAGAAGATTAAATGAGATAGTGCATGTGATTCCCTTAGCAAAACAGCGAGCATAGAGTAAGCATTCAATAAATGTTGGCTGTTATTATTCACCCCTGTATGCATAGCCCTCAGCTTAGTGCTAGTGCGCGGTAGGCAATAAGTATTAGTGGAATTAAATGAATTAGAGCTACAGATGAGGAACCAGGCCCATAAAGGATAAGAAACTTAATAAAGGTTACATAGCAAGGTAGCGGTAGAAGTGGGACTAGAATCCAGGTCTTGTAATTACAAGTCCAGAACTCTTTCCACTAAATATGTGGTCCATCTTAAAATTCTTTTTGTGACAGAGAGGGATTTTTGCTGGAAAGCAAAAATCACTGTAAATGTTTTAAATGTATGGTCACCAGGTTCCCTTCAAATAGCATTAATTGAGGGATTTCTCTATATTACATACTATTGCTTCTGTAAAGATTGACTGCCTTGGAAACCCAATAGGGGTCGCTGTGAGTCAGAATCCAATCGATGGCTGTGAGTTTGGTTTTGCTTTTAGTGGTAACTTCGCTAGAGTTCCCAAAGATGAATCTATTCAAGTATTGGCAATGACTCAGTTTAAGTAGAGTAGAGGGTTTCAGGAGGTCTGGTGATGTACTGGGTAAGACACTTGGCTGCTATCCAGAAGGTCTGCAGTTCAAATCCATCAGCTGCTCTGCAGTAGGAAGATGGAGCGATCTACTTACCTAAACATTTACCACCTTGGAAACCCAATGGAGATTGCTATGAGTCTCCACTCCATGTCAGTGGTGTTGGTTTTGGTTAGAGGGTTTCAGAGAACATTGACTATTCGTTCAATGAACAAATGAATTTTAGGCAATTACTTTCATGGCAGTGCTACCCTAAATTCTGGGGATATGGTCGCGAACAAAATAGATCTCCTGCCTTTTGGTGCTTTCAGTCTAGCAGGGAAGGAAGACAAACAGTTTATTACAAATAACTACAACAGTGCTGTCTTCTCTGTTAGCTGCCTTCAACTCAGCCCCTGACTCTAAGAAATACAAAAAATGAATTTTTGAACCAGATTGGAATTTAATACTGTAGAGAATCTCCATTATATTCTGTTAAGTGATATATATTGCCATCTTTAGTTTGTAACAAATATAAATATGTATTTTTATATACACGCACACATATATACAGGCATACCTCATTTTATTGCACTTTACTTTTTTGTGCAGATATTGTTTTTTTTACAAATAGAAAGTTTATGGTAACCCTGTACTGAGCAAGTCTATCAGCACCGTTTTTTCTAGCCACATGTGTTCTCACTTCGTGTCTCTATGTCACATTTTGGTAATTCTAATGATATTTCAAACTTTTTCACAATGTTAATTGCATATTAGTAGACTCCAGTGTACTGTAAACATAATTTTTATATGC